CGAACGGTGGTAATAGTAGTGAACGGCAGTGGTGGTGGTGGGATAGTTGTGAGGTGGTGGTAGGGTGGCGACAACGATGATGATAGTAGTGGTGGGGCGATAGGAATGGTGGTGGTGGGGCGGCGGGTGTGATAGTAGTGGTGGCGTGGTGACAATGGTAACGGTTGTTGAAGGTAAGGTGGTGCCGACAGTGGTAGTAGTCGTGGTGGTGTAGTGATGGTGATGAGGCAGTTTCAAATACTTCTTCTTCTTTTTTTCAAGTACTTAAGAAAATTATAAATTCTACAAGTACTTTTAAAAGTTATCTCAAACACACTTTTATGGCTTTATTTTTCATATTAATTTTGGAATGTTAATATTAGACGTTTGATTAATTTTAAAGTAAAATTTAAATATATCGCAACCGCGAAAAGCAAAAATCATTTTGTTTATCTTTTAAAATTTGAATCGTATTGTACTTTATTATATACATAATTTGTAACTATAATATTTTTTTTTATTTGGCTTGTCACTTTTGATTTTGAAAATCATAAAGTACAATGAAATAATAAAATTAAAAAATTCTACCCATGTATGGTTTCATTGATGGATAAAGAGTTACAACATTGAAAAATTAAGTTTTCAGTATCATAATCAGACCATGTTACCCAAATCAAGCCAACATTTACATAGCGATCATGTAACACTTTTTTATAGAATTAATCTAGTTTTCTTAATCAATGTAAGAACATCGTATAGGTAGGTCAGAAAAAAATATCGAAAGGGTGAGACTTAAAACACACACTATTCACCTAGTAAGAACATCCCTTATCACCTTAAAATCAATGTTTTTTTTTTCCAATAAAATCTATAAAAAAAAATTACACTACATTTGTCACTTAATCGTTTAGACCCCTTATATTTAAAATATTATACATAAATTCTCTAAAATTTGTATGCACGTAACACTTAGACCTCTACCGTAAATGTCGATTAATATATCTATTAGTAAATTACACACGAACTCCCTAAAGTTTGTAAACGTGTGATATTTAAACCTCTTAAGTTTAAAACATTACACTAAGATCCGTTATTAGTTAATGAACTAACGGAATTTATTAAACGACCAAATTACCCCAGTTAAAAATAAGAGATATTAAGTTTATTATAGTTTGACTCTATGTTTATTCCAATAAACAATATAATTGTATGAATATGAGTGCTGAATTTAGCTCTTTAATATATTTATACTAATTATTATTATTTTTCTCAAAAATTTGGAATTTTGTTTGATTTTTATGTTAATGAATGATATAATGGAACATGCAAATGTATTGATTAGGCTTATTTATATGTTCATACTTGATGATAAAAAAATTGATCCATGTGAAGAGTTCAGTTAGTTAAAATCCAACCCATCATGTCAAGAGTTTTAATTTGAATAAGATTTTACATATCGTGTATATATTAAATTTAAAAGCACAGATAACATCAAATTAACGTATAAAAATAAGAACTACTAGATCTTCAATCAATATTCATATTCAATTCAAATTGTCTAAACTCCTACAAATAGAGCTCCATTAATGCTCTAGGTATGCTACTCCTAATTTCTAAATGCAGTCACTGACTTAGGCATTGGAGAGTCGAGATCCTCTCTAGACTCCAACTTCTTTTTCAATTGATCGAAACCCAACAAACTGATATGAAGATCGTTCAAATTTTGACATCAACAATATTAATTATAATTTTTTTAAGAAAATTTGAATTTTTAATTTTATTTCAATAAATGAATAATAAAAAATTAATTTTGGTTATAAAAACTAAACTACTTGATATTATATCTTTAATTGAAGTTTTTTTTGTTCGCTTCAAATTTTAAAGATATGAATGTAATTTATTAATAGATATACTAATGGACATTGATGCTTGAGTCTATATGTTACGCGCATATAAATTTCAAGGTATTTGTATGTAATATTTTAAATATCAAGAAATCTAGGTAATTAAATGAGAAACTTTAGAGAATTTAAGTGTAATTTTTTCAAATCAGTACTATCAACCGACAAAGTTTGGACAAAAATTGATTATGTCCCCACTATAATATTCAAATTCAATGCTTCTTCTTTACCATAAATTCCACCACCCATTAAGAGGAAAGCTTCCTTGCAATTTCAAACAATCATCTTGTTGTAGTGTTCTTCTTACTTATGCTCAAAATTTGAAAATGTTCATATATAGATATTTAGTGAAATTGACCAACTATACAAAAGTAACTAGATATCGTTGTAGACTTCTTCTTACGAATCTTGCTATTCAAACAACCTTGTTTTCTTTTTTTTTTTTTTTTCAAAATAAGTATAATTCAAGAAAACAATTTCAATGGAAAAGAAAACATATAAATGTTGCTATATGACAAGCCAAAAAAAATTGATTGGCTGTAATTAGCATTGACTCATTAGAAAAAAGCACATCAATACTTGTTCAACTGCAGAAAATGAAGTCACACTATTTGCGATTATCAATCTCTTAATATTATTCCCATCATTTTATCCCAATAATTATAGTGTGCATGTAGAGTAAAAAATTATGTGTTTGAAGATCAATTATTACACGATACAATTAAAAAATTACATTTGGTCCAATATTATACGGATGATTTAACTCCTCTCTAATTTGAACATAGGTCATTTTGTTTTATTATTATTATTATTATTATTATTATTTTACATGGTAAGAATTTGTATACATCCTAGTTAAATATAGTTAATTTTACAAAAAAAAAAACAAAAAACAAAAACCAAAATGATTTATTTATTCTTTTGAACAAGCAAATTATTGGTGTGAATCCTCCAAGCCTTTTGTACATGGGAGAATGTTTGGATGAGTATATATGACAATTTTAAAATAAAATTGTTAAATTTTCTATCAAACTATAACACTTTATAAAAAGTCAGGCTAATAATCCCGCTTTTAAATAAGAGTGTGATCAAAGCCACATAAACGATCCCCGAAGAAAACATCGAATATGTAAGAACTTAGGAGTGAGGTTGCTGTCCCACTTTTCTCACTTTTTTTAAAAAAGTGGAGTTACTTTTAAAAAAAAATTGTATTTTAATAAATAAGAAAAATTTCAATCACACCCTTTCTAATTTATTATATCTTTTTAAAGACACCCCTCTATTATCACAAACATCGTTGACATCTCTTATAATTTATATTTAAACATCATCGACACCCTTGTCATTAAACCACCATTTTTATAAAAAAAAATTCATCTAAAATACAAAAAATGCCCCCACATAAATCTCAAACAATTTTTCTATATAAAATTTGATTAACACCTTTAATTTGCATTCTATTAACACCTTTAATTTGATAGAGAGTGTTAGTGAAGATTACCAATGGACTTTTAGTCCAATGATACTTTTTATCTTATGAAGATTTTACCTTTTTAAGGTCAAGGGATCAAGTCTCCTCCCCTCCCCTTCCCCCTCAAAAAAAAAAAAAGGAGTGTCAATGAAGATTCATAAAATAGAGGGGGCATATTTGAAGGTACAATAAATTAGAAGGGGTGTGGTTGAAAATTTTCCCCAAAGATCGTCTAAATCTCAATTTATACCTCCAAAGATAAAAAATCTCAATATGTACCCCCAAAGATAAAAAATTTCAAATTGTACTTTCAAAGATATTGTATCAATGTGCACCTAAAACTAACTGTCGTTAGTTTGCTGCTTAAAATTAAATTGATAAATTATATCTAGATCCTCTCATGTTTGTCACTTAATCATTTGAACCCCTTCGCAAAATAAACGGTAATATAAAATTATAATTTTTTATTAGGATAAAATCACATTTTTAACGGCTATAAAATCCTAATAAAAATACTCTCAATTTAAAATGTCCCCTCCAATTGGCCATTCAAATAATTATTTTTAGGTGATATATTACATTGCATATAAAAAAAATATTATATAAATATCTACATTCTATTGGACATTTAAATGATAAGTTTGATTTTAAACTTTAGAATATATTGGACTCACAAAATAAAGGGTAATATGAAATTATAATATTTTATTAGGATAAAATCATATTTTTTAACGGTTATATTTACAGATATCAACGAAAAAGGGTTACATGTTATACATGCACAAACGTCGTGAGATATATGAGTAATAATGTGAAGGGGTCCAAATGATTAAATGACAAGTATGAGGGGAACTAGGTATAATTTAGCAATTTAATTGACGGTTAGTTTTAGGGGCACATTGATACAAATTTCTATATTTGATGGTGCAAATTAAGATTTTTGATCTTTGGGAGTGCACATTGATACAAATTTTTATTTTTGAGGGTGCAAATTAAAATTTTTTATCTTTGAGAATATAAATTGAGATTCGAACGATTTTTCAGAGTGTTATCTACAGGTAACCCTTTTGTTTATTGCACCGGAGGTTTTCAAATGGTTTGTCTCATTTTGGTCTCAAAATATTTCAATTTCATAATTTTAATCTTGGAAGTATTAAATATATTTTCATGTAGTTTCTCAAACAAATATCGGTGAGATTGTTAATGATTTTTGATTATAAATTATCACATAATATCTAAATATAGGCAAAAAAATAATTTAAATAATTTTTGACCAAATTTTTACTCAAAACTTTGTCAAAGAGTTACCCAAATTACACGGTTATAATCATAAGGTATTTAAATTTTGGTAAAAGCTATTCAAATTATTTTTTACGTATATTTAAGTATTATACGATAAATTTATGATAAAAATTCGTTAACAAATTTGAATATTTTATGCTCGAGGATAATATATAAAAATATTCAATATTGCCGAGTAAGAGGACCAAAATAGCCTCCCAAATAAACACACCACAATCGAGGGCTCCACTGGCTCTCTTTGTTGTGTGAAGGGTAGAAATGTAAAATTGGAACAACTACTACATATCGGATGCCTGGTCGCGAGGGTTTTGGCTGCAGAGTCACAGAGGTCGTAGAGCTTTCACAAAATGGGTAGCGCCGTAGCCGAGAAGACGGAGGAAGAGCTCCGGAAAGAGATCGAAGAGCTCCAGCGCCAAGAGCAGGAGGTTCCCTCTCTCCTCCTATATATGTGTATATATATATATATTTTTTTTCTGTATTCGTACATAGATGTATATCTGTATTTCTTTGTCGAGTGTTTGATCGTTTCTTTCACCGACCCAGATTGCAGAGAGGCTTCGTCCTCGTAGGGGTATTCGCCGGGGAGGCTTTTTGGGCCCTGGTCCTCGGAATTTCGCTGTCAATGGCAATCGCCAGCGCGGCTTTGTTCGACCCGTACTCTCTCTCTCTCTCTCTCTCTCTCACACACACACACACACACATGCACGCTTTAACTATTTGCATGTGTGGTTTTGAAATTGATCAATTGATGTGTTGTAGGCTGAAAGGACGAAATCCGAAGACCAACCCCCAGCCAAAAGGCGGCTGTCTTCGGCTGTTGTTAAGGTCAGCAAATCCCTATAATCTCAATCTTAGACTTTATTTTATATGGGTTTTGATTGAATTTTGGCTGATTTGGGAATGAAGCTTGAGGATGGGGAGATAATTGAGGACGCTGCGGAGGCCGTGGAGGAAGCGAAAAAGAAGGATTCAACTGCGGAAGGAAGTGCTGAAGCTGTCAATGCAAGCCAGAGTGAGAAAAAGCAACCCGGTTGGTTTAGGAGTGATGGCAATCACAAACCATCTAAGATGGTGAGCTTCGAAATCTCTATAGCTTTTTGTTGAGTTTAATGTCTGTCTAATGGGACTTTTTTTGTTACTTTATGAAAAATTAGGTCAGTTATTTTTTTTGTTTCTTATGATGTGATTAGGACCTGGAAATACCTCCGAGAGTGCATTTTCCGAGGGTATTGCCTAAGAATGAGGACCCGAGTTTGGTTAATAGGAATAAAAGAATGCTGGGTCAGCTCTTGGGGACATTGGAGGTATGCTTAAAATTGCTTCTTTTGGTTCCCCCTTCAAGGGTGGAACTTGCCTGTCTGGTTAAGTGTTTGGGATATGTTCTTTTATAATTATTCGATTCAAATGTAGCAACAGCACTTTCAAGTCACAGCATGCAGAAGAAGTATGCTGTTATTCTAAGAAGCGTATGAATAAATTTGTTGAGTTTCATAGCTTCTTTTTGGCATCATTAACACTCGATTTTGTGCAGGAAATGAGTAGTTTAATTTTCAATAGTATAACCATCTGATTGTAGTCTGTTTTGTGATTAACTTCAATCTTCAAGGGTATAGTTGTGTCTGGGATGTGGGGATATGCATTTAGTAGGAGAAAGTTACGAGATTATTAACTTGGTGTCTAAATGCAAATTACATAGTGTGAGACTGAGATCTGATGGTGTTGATCTGGTAGGCCATAGAATTGGAAGCACCTACATGGCACTATCTCATGCTAGCAGGTGCCTCTATCAGCTAAATGTTTATGTGTTTAACAAATCAGTTTAATATAAGGTTATAAGTTCAAATTAAATTCAAATGTCTTCAAATATTTTGGTAACACACATGACTACCATGCCCAGAAGTCCACCATATGTGTCTGTGCCACATACCATGAAATTTCTTTAGGTCACTGGTTTTATGCCTCTGTTTTTTCAATAGGAAACAATAGAATATTATTAAGATGAATAAAAAAAAGTACACGAAAGGACAAAGAGTCCTCAAGAGACAACTAAGGCGAGAATAAAAGAGAACCTAAACAAGTACAACAAGCCTAATGGTCTTTAATAAAAAATAAAGGAATTCCTTCAAAATCTTTAGAAGTGGACACCCAAAGAGATAACATGTAATATATTTTATCCCATAAATCTTCTCAAAGAGCCTTCTTTCCCGAAAAAACTCGTTCATTTTTTTACAACCAAACAACCCAAAATAAAGCTAATACCACGCATCTCCATAGAACCTTGGCTTTAGTACATGAACCAAAGCAATTAAAATTCATACTAAGCACCAAATCACAATTACGTGCGGTCACCGAAGGGCTCCCAACAACACCATTGAGCCTATTCCACAACTTCGAGACAAAAGGAAAATGAATGAATGAATTATCCAAACACTCCGTTTCTATCTTGCAACTGATGCACTATTGCGGTTGAAGAGAAAATACGGCTTCCTTTTTGGAGCAATTTATTGGTATTTAGTTTCTTACGTGCAATCAACCATGCAAAAACTTTTACCTTCAAATGTATCTTACTCTTCCAACACAAAAGAAGAAGGTTCAAAGAATGGAAGATAACGTTATCGATCAAGGAATCAATTTTTTTTGCAGAATACTGACCCGAAGAAGAAATGCTCCAACTTCTTCTATCTAAGGAATCTTGTCTCAAACCGAAGTTTTAAAGGAATACCCAAGAGAGGACAATTCATCCACTTCTTTGTCTCTCAAATTTCTAAAGAAGTAAAAGTTTTAACTAGTGATAGAGGAAGACGAGGAAACCATACTATCAATTGATGAATTATGAGATCTAGATAACTGATACAAATGAGGAAACAAGGATGCAAATGAAGACTCTCCTCCCAAACATATTGCCAAAAGCGAATCTTCTTCTCATTGTCAATAACATACTTAATGTGTTGTGAAAAAAGGGGCAATCCTTAAGAAATGAATTTCCAAAATTCCAAATTGGTTTTTTTTTTTTTCTTAATCTTCCCTTCCCTGGTTGGGCATTTTTAAAATTTTTTATCTTTCAAAGGAGTAATGGGAATACTTGATTCCTAATGGGACTATTTTGTCAGCAAAGATTCCCAAATGATTGTTGTCGTGTTTTTCTTGCATGAGAATCAAATGATGGCAATTGCCCAAGTAAGGTAAGTTGTTGACAACCAAGAAACAGACTGTCATCTGTAGTGGCCAACTTGAAGCCTGATGTGTTTAATTGGAGATGTCTGTTAAATATTTGTAGAAACTGTTTCGTTTTGATGTATATATATATATATATATATATATATATATTGATGGATGCATTGATGTGTTGATAGGCATTCTCAATATTGTTTGTAACTCCTAAATATTTCACGAGAACTGGAGCAGAAAATCTTGAGCACGAGCCGTTCCAATATGTATATGGACTAAAATGTGAAACAGTTTGAAGAAACCTTAGCTATGTCAATTGTCCTTAAATTTAGCTTGTTCTTGAATCCTCTAGATTATAGAATGACTTGGTATGACACATTTGATTGATCTTGCCAAGGGGCTTAGAAATTTGTTTATTGTCTCCCAGCCATGCTGTTAGAGGTGTTTTGGCTTTTTTTGTTTAGTTGCATTTGCTGCCTATTTCAGTGATTGCTCAATTGCCTTAAAATTTTTGAAATTTTTATTTGGTATTCATGAGGTCTTCATCTTGGAAAATGCTAGCGGTCTCCTTATAAACTTTTAGTCAATGAGAGTGTGAAAGAAAGCTCCTCAAGTGTTCATGACTTGAATCAATCTAGAGTATACGGTGCGCCTATGAGGTCAATGATATATGTTCTTTTAGTTCCCTCAAGATCTCAATCAGTGAGAAATGCTAAGGGTCTTCTACGTGCCTGTTAAGGAGTTAATGGAGATTAATACCCATCCATCAATTCGTTAAATTCTTTGTGCATTAAGAACAATATCTGCACACTTCTTACTGGCGTCTATGGTAGAACCAGTTGAGTCCATTATCTCTAACTGACGAACTGAGCTACAGAAATCTAAGTGCAGATCCTGTTAATTTTTGGAATCAAAATCATTGAAGCTACATGAAGATTCAGTTATTGTATCTTAAATTCGATGGTTTTAATGAACAAAAAGTGAAATAAATTAAATTGTTGGGGATCTAATCGATCTAACCATTGATTTACAGAGTAGATGGTAGGATCTTTCTGGAATTTCTCAGTCTTTGGAATAATTTCTTCTTAGTTCCCTATGGGCAGCATGTTATTTTTCACCCAATTTAATTAAATTTTTTTATCGAAGGAAGGTATTCGATTAAAGATGTGGAAATAATAGATACTAATTATTACCAATAACATCTGCCATCTATTTTAGAAATACTAGGTCCTAGTTATTACCTGTAAAGTTTGTTGTCTATTTGATTCTTAGTCTTGTTTATATATTTACGGAGAAGTAAGTTCTTTTCTTTTTTTTTTTTTCCTATTTTAATTGTGTACCATGTTCTATACTTAGTCCTCTGGCTAAAATGTTTCTCTTGCCAGTCATTTTATTTTTACTTTTGGAAAACTTTCAGAAATTCAGGAAAGAAGACATGAAACTTTCTGGCACAGAGGCTTACATGCGGAGGTCAGATTCTTTGAAAAGAGTGAGTATTTGTTAGCTTCTGCACTTACCTTCTTCCATTCTGTGTAATTTTTATTATGTTTTTCAAAAATGAAATTTTGGTGGCGGGTATTTGGCAAGAAATATAATAAGTGGCATGGCTCAAGGAGCAAAAGTGTCCCGTAAGAAATCATTTTGTAGTTTAGGCATTCGGCGGTCTCTTAATGTTGAAGCAATTTGACCTCCAAATGGAAATACACTTAAACTTTTGGGTGAAATTAAGTGTCTCCTAGACATAGCATGCGCGCAACAAGGAAAGATTGTCATAGTGCACTTTGCTCTCAAGTAGGATACTAGATTGAAATAAAACTTGGGGGAATGTTTACACACAAGGAAGAGTTTCATCTTCTCTTTTTTGAACGTCCTGTTTGCTATGTCCTCATGAAAATGTGTGTGTGTGTGTGTGAGAGAGAGAGAGAGAGAGGCTTCCATTGTGGATATAGCGTTGTGTGGATCTAGATCTTCCGAGTGTAAAAACAGCAGGCAAGAGTTGCATAATTAGCTGTAGGATTGACACTGTGAGGACCGAACTGTCTGGTTTGTCATATTGGTATCCCTTTGCGGATATTTTCCTGTCTTTTGAGTTCTTTGTGATCTTTATTTTATTTTAGCGGTTGGATTTTATGTTCCTTTTCTTCTTGCACCAAAAATCATATTAATACTGAAATAATCATCTCAAAACCTTATATAGGCTGAGCAAAGAGCACGTGAAGAAAGTGAAAAGCTGAGGCAACAGCAACGTGAACAACTTGCAGAAAAGCGGAAGAGAGATCTGGTTTGTTGTTTCTATTCATATATTCTTTGAATCTCTGTGGGTGAACTTAAGATTGCCACTTATGTGAGGATACAGATTGAGTTCTCTAAGGCTGTTTTTTGTGTGTTACCCTTTTGGATCAGACTCTACGAGCACGTGTTGCTGCTAAGGCAGAAGAAAAGGAGTTGGAATTGCTGTTTCTTCGGTGGAGTGAGCACCACAAAAAACTTGGCAGTTTTACCAGGTAAATCATACACCAAACTTCTTTTCTTTTTGGCAGTAAGTAGATAATAATTTATTCTGAAAGGAAAGATAACAGCATGATCGCTCAGTAGATGCCCCCGAGCTAGGCAAACAAGGGAACGAATCTCAGAATTTTGAGGCTTTACAAACTTGACCCAACGGAAAATTAAGATGGTTAAATCTTCAAATTGGGTGCGAAATTTTGTTTCATCTGCTGTGCTGACACTCCCCCCCCCCCCCCCCCCGCGGCGGGTGAATCTCCTTCAGATTGCATCCTCTACGACCATCGAGTCTCTGTTTCTGATGCTCTTATATATTTTGTTTATCTTTTTCTTGCAGGTTATTTCTAATTTTGGTCCAAAAGTGTCTGTCCATATTCCCAATTTTATTGAGACAAAGATAAGTTTCTGTTCATGTTCATAGTGCTGCAGCAGCTGGATGACTTAAGCTTCCTGCTTTGCAGGATTCTAGGTTGATCAAGTGATGCTATTGTTTATATGTTTATGCTTCAATTTGTAATTTTCGTTGGTTGTGTTTCTTCCAGGACTAAGGCAGAGCCTCCGATATATTTCATGTTTGCCAAACCAATGGATGACGATGCTACATTGGCTGAACAGCGGAAGGAACAGGTGAGTTTCTGGCCACTTTGAAGCTGTGATTTGGATCTACAGAAGTCTGTGGACCAGTGTTTTGCGATTTTACTGTTCGATACTCGAGAACTATTTAAGCTTACTTTTATATTATCGAGGCTCTTTTTCTGAATTTATATTCACTAGCTGCAACCCTTCAGGAAATTTAAGCTTATGAGACAGCTTTGTTCCTTGCCATTTTGTCACATTTGTGTTCTGTTAATGTATTGAGCACCCTTGTCGAGAATAACGGGTTATTACAAAAGTTATAAAGCAAGTGATGACATAATTGATGGACTGGGAATTTGACTAGCGTTTATTCAGTAGCTGTGGATGGAATTATTTAACTGCCCATTTGTTTTACATCCCACTATCTTAAATATCAGGTATTTGAGGAATGGAAGGCTTCTAGGAGAGAGGAGCTTTCTCAATACCAGAAGCAGATTGGTGAACAGTATCTTGCCAATGTTGACAAGGAATTCGAGAGGTGGCAAAATGCAAGAAGAGGTAGGAAACCAACCGATGATATGGCAAACTTACAAGAGACAATGGACAAAGAACTGGAGACCCATAGGCTAGAGCATGGACCCAAGACACGAAAGATCCCCGGTGGAAGCAACAATGAAGATGAAGATGATGTTGAAGACATCAATGTTGCAGAGGATGACATGATGGATGATGTGCTGGATGTCGAAGAGAACAGCAGGAGGGGTGGTGATGAAACAGTGAAGCCAGAAGCAGCTAATGTTAGCCCACAACCAGATAAAAGGGATCAGTAGTGTTTCAATCCTTTCAATAACAACTTCGATTGTGTTATGTTCTTAGTAGGCCTGGTATGTATTCTTAGCCTTTGTTTTCCTTCAGACTCTGATTATTTTTGTTTTATATGTTATATCAATGAGGAGTTGGTTGCCTAGGTTGAGCTTGTATCTGATTATCCTCCCATTTTGTTGTATTAGTGCGTATTTTTGTTGAAAGAGGAACGCTAAATTATTTTTCTGGCATCCTGTGAATGATAACACCGCATTGGTGGTTGTTCTAGCTTTGATTCTATTTGGCCAAATTCGTATGGGAATTCATACAACGAAGAAACTGTGGTTATTCATCTACATGAATAATTTTGTTACCGGTTTAATATTAATTCTCTTATGCTTCTTTGTAGAGTTATATTTATGATTTAAACAGTTCCCTTTTATTACATAGTTGTAAGTATTCTGTCTTATTCTGCATGAGTTTATTCAACCACTCCTGACCCCAGAGCAATTTACTCATCCCTCTAAGAGGCAGCTTGGGGTCCAGTCTCATAATTTGGCTGGTCCACTGTTGCACAGTTTCCTCCAAGGAGCCATCATGTACAGGGTCTTCGCACCACATTTGAGCCTGGAGAGACACTTGAAAGGATGATTCTTGGTGGTTGATAATCCTTCTTTCAACAATTCCTCAATTTAATAGATAGTTATTCAAATCGATAAAAATCTGACTAATCTAGCTCATGAATAAATTCGAACTTAGTTATACATAATTGTAAATGTGTGACATTTTATTAATTTTTGATCTGATAAAGAACCATGAAATTCATCAACGACCAGTTGGTGTACTAGGTAAGAACTTGAATTTTTTTTTTCTCAATGTTTGGGTTCGAGTCTGTAAAACTACGATTGTTTGATGCAGTTAAATTTACTCTTTAGCTTCTAGAGCACACGCTGAAAGTTGTGAGACTTTAGGCTTGGCTTGGCTTCAACATAGGTGCAGTGGGATATTTTGCAGACAACTGTGTAGTGTTGAGAGGCAATGTTTCCTAATAGATATGTGGCCGCAGTTCGGTAGAGTTAAATTTACTTTTCAGCGTTTAGAGTACATAGTGAGAGTTGTGAGATCTTAGGTTTGATTTTACCATAGGTGCGGTGGGATTTCTTATAGATAATTGTGTGATGTTGATAGATAATATTTTTTGACAAATGTATTGAATGACCTATATACATATCAGCATAAAAAAGAATGGAAACTCACATGGACTACAGCTTTAGATGGGGATGGAAGGAACGGAGAACATAGGCTGAAAAAAGAGGGGTTCCTACCTGGAACACAAGAAAGGTTTAGGGTAGTTTGAGGTATATATTTAGAGTTGTTAATGTGGGAAGGAATTGGACCCCATGTGCTGCAAGAGCTGTCATAATTTTAGGGAAGGTGATGTTTGGAATATTAAAATGGAAAGAGAAATTTTCCAGCTGATTCTTGATCACATTTTCACTACTATAATATAATTAAAAGTTTGGATGAAAGCTATTAGTAGCCGTTTCGATGGAATTATACTAACATCCCATGTGACATACAAAAGTTTTAAAAAGATCCCACTAGTTTGAAATTTAACATTCCATCTCTTTTGGTTTTGATATTTAATTTTAGGGGGTACGTACACCTCACTTAATGGTGGACTAAGAACAAAAAGGAATCACTGATACCGCCTAACCCATCACGACCCACACATCCTATTGGGAAAGGGGAGAGCAAGCCTCGCTCAAAGCTACCATCTGCAACTCTCTCTCTCTCTCTCTCTCTCTCTCTCTCTCAGAGTTATGCATAGGTATTTGTAGGTTTGATTTGAAAATTTCTATTTGTGTTTATAATTTTGTTGATTCTCTTGCCTTCTTATCCAATCTTAGTAGGTGTGGCTGTCTGTACTTGGTTGTCACTGTGGGTGGATATGTCTCTGTGTGTATATACAATTATTTATTGTCTAGATGTGTGGACGTATGTGTGTGTGTGTGATTGTGTCTATGTGCTTGTACATCAGTAGTACATGTGTTTTTTTATTAATGTTGGAAGTAAAATTGAAAAACCAAGAGCTATGCTAATTCTTAACCGATCAATTAGGCCCAATGTTAATGTAAATTAACCAAGAAAAAGCTAACTAACCTTCTTCTCACTCTTACTCCCACTCTCACGGTCACCCAACAAACACATTCTCTCTCCCTCCCTTTTCAAGGGCCATGCTAACTGTTCACCGCTGTTAGCTGCATTCTCCAAGTTCAAAACAATAAAAACACCGATTTTCATTTACATAAAATATAGGGAATGTTAATGTAAATTACGTTTTTGTAATTTAACCAAAGGTGACAAACCTCCTTCTTACTCTATCAGCCCCACAGACACATTCTCTCTCTCTCCCTCTCTTTTCAAAAGGAAGAGAACAAGGGGGAGAGAGAGAGAGAGTGTGCGAGTGAGTGAGTGGGGGACTTCACTTTCCCAATTTCAATTCTCTCACCTCCCACCTGGAGCACACCAGCAAGACAATGACCTCCACAACCCATGTCAACACCCAAACACCACACCCACCACCTACAAACCGCCAAAACCACCGCCCCTACTACCCTCCTCCGCCACAATCTTCTTCCTCCTCCGCCTCCTTCAGAGGCTGCTGTTGTTGCCTCTTCCTCCTCTTCTCTCTCATCGCCCTCCTAATCCTTGCCGTCGTCCTCGTCGTAGTCCTCGCCGTCAAACCCAAAAAACCCCAATTCGACCTCCAACAAGTCGGCGTACAGTACGTCGGCATCACACCCAATCCCACCCCAACCACCCCTCAATCCGCCTCCGTCTCTCTCAACATTCGCATGGTCTTCACGGCCGTTAACGACAACAAGGTTGGGATCAAGTACGGCGAGTCCAGATTCACTGTCATGTACCGCGGTATTCCATTGGGTCGGGCCTCCGTGCCCGGGTTTTACCAGCCCGCTCATAGTGTGAGGCGAATCGAGACCACTGTAGTTGTGGATCGGGTCAATTTGCTTCAGGCTGATGCTGGGGATTTGGTTCGGGACGCGACTGTGAATGATCGGGTTGAGTTGCGGATTTTGGGTGAGGTTGGGGCTAAGATCCGGATTCTTGGGATTACTTCGCCCGGTGTAGAGGTTAGCATCTCTACTCTTTCTCTCTCCCTCACCTGCTTTACTTTTTCTATCTCTAGAACTTAATTGGAGAATATGAGCTTCTCTCTCTGTCTTTCTTAGCGATGGGTAGTCTTGCACCAGCTAAACCCTCCACCGCTTGTCCTCCCTGTAACGTGGGCGTCTATAGCCATGGATATGCTAAAATGCGCCAATTGGATTTTGCGGTTTGGGACCTCATTTTTCTTGGAATTTTCGTAGATGCCCAGTAGGTTTTATTGGGACTATTCAATGTCACACGTAAACCTTCGGTACTTGCACTATGAAAAATTGTCGTCATATATAAATGTCTAAAAAAAAATTTAGTGGATGCTCAATTGATCTTTGTGTTTTTTGTTTTCCAACAATAATAAGTGTCCAAGTCAGTTTACGTGTATTTTGACTAATTTTTTTTATTTTGATCAAAGATTAGTTATTTATACTGGGACTAGAATATTTTTGAGGTATAAATTCCTCGATGCTTGGCATTAAGTGATTATCAAGTTTGAAACTTAAGACGTTTGAGTTTACAACTCGTACTTATTACATCACTTGAATTACCTTTAGAGTCGATTTTAGTGTATTTGTGTTATGCCCATCTAATTTTTGGTCTAGCCAAAAAAAAAAAAAAAACTATTTTTGGGTGCTATTTTTATGTCCCACAATAATAATACCCTTAGGTGGTTAGGCTAGATGACTCGTATTATGATAATTGTCATATGAAGGTGTTTCTTGACCTTTTTCCAATCAGTTACGGAGGCAATGTTGGTTACCCTATAAATAGGGTAAATTATTATGTCCACAAGGCATAAAGTATACACTTACTTAGTTCTTCAACAATTAATTGAAACAATGAAGTCTCATGTTGCATATTTTTCACATCTTTTAAGGTCGGTCACTTTTTGTTAATTAGGGAACATGTCTTTAAAATAGTTTAAGCTATGATGATCGATTTTAGAGCTCGAGAAAATAATCGGGACAAGTTTGAATATATTGTTACAAAAATAAAAAATAAAAAAATTGAAACAATGAAGTCTTTAAAATTAAAATTGTCTCCTATTTTTGTCCGTTATTCAAATTCATCAATAATTGCATGTTTTGACCCATTTTGTTGCATATTTGATTCATGTACATATTTAGACTATGGACTATGGAGGTGAAGGTTATAACTTTTAAATGTAATAAAAAAAAAAAGGAATCATTATATGTATGCTTTTTGATGTTTGTCACTTAATCATCTAAACTCCTGACATTTAAAATATTACATATAAACCCATTGAGATTTGTATGCACGTAACATATAGACTCTCCTCTTAAATGTCTGTTAACATATCTGTTAATAAATTATATCTAGACCCTTAAAATTTAAAACATATAATACTTATATCCCTAAAATTTAAAATATTATGTTTATATAAAAAATACTCAAATTAAAGATAGAATATCAAATATTTTAAATTTTATAATTAAAATTCATGTTTTATTATGTCATTTATTAAAATAAAATTTTAATTTTTTTAAAAAAAAATCATAATTAATACTATTAATGCTAAAATTTGGACGATCTTCACGTCAATTTAAATTTGGACTAAATGAACTTTTCACCTTAGGTCAATTTTTCCATCATCAAGTATGAACATATGAAATAAATCTAATCAACACATTTGCATATTTTATTTTATTATCTATTGACATAAAAATGAAACAAAATTTTAATTTTTTGAAAAAAAAATAGTAATCAATGTAAATATATTAAAGAACGCAATGCAACACTTATTTGTATATAATTATATTGCCTATTGAAATAAAAAAAAAATCAAATAAGGGGTCAAATAGTAATGAATACAATATCTTATATCTTTAATTGAGATAATTTGGTTGTTTAACAAATTTCGTTAGTTCTGTAACTAATAAGGGGTTTAAGTATAATATTTTAAATTTGAGATGTCTAAGTGTTACTGACTTACAAATTTTAGGAGATCTAAGTGTAATCTTCCAATGGATATATTAACGGACATTTAACGGTAGGAGTCTAATTGTTACGCATGTGCAAATTTTAGGAGATCTGTATATAAAATTTTTGAAATGTCAAGGATCTAAATGATGAAGTAACAAATTTCAGGAGTTTAGGTATAATTTTAACAAAACAAAATAGCACCATATTGAAGGTTATTACTTTTAAATGTAAAATTATTATAACTAATGGAAATGATTCATGAGCAATTATGAAATGTTATTATCGACAATAAATTATCCGAACTAGTTATAACTTGTAATTTGCATGTGATAATATAAATTTGAGTATTATATCAAACCACTCTTCGTCTTGGTGCTATCAAGTGAAAGTTGTTTATTGCAGGTATCGGTGGATTGTAAAATAGTGATAAGTCCAAGGAAGCAGTCTCTCACTTACAAGCAGTGTGGATTTGATGGACTAAGCGTCTGAGTCTGACACCTCCTGGCAGTGAGAAGCATCTTCCCTCTTATTTTCAGAGCTTAGCTACCCCCTTATTTACTCTCTCCTCAAAAGTTTAGTTTGTGGAGAGAGATGGGATTATTAATGGCTACACATGGAAGGAGGAGGAGGAGTAGGCAGAAAGCAAACTTGATATTCTAATTATTTAGGGGATTAATCTGTCAGCTTTTTGAAAATTTTTGCTCTCCCACGTAAAGCTTAGACTAATTAATCTCTCTCTCTCTCTCTCTCTCTCTCCAAAAAGAAATGAAGAGAGAGAATCTGGTAGAGCTGCCTTAATGTGTAAGCACTCTGAATCAAACATGACTGATCTGTAAAGGGTCACGTTGCCAGAAGATGAATGTCTTTGTCAAAAAAGATTCCCCTGGAAATGGCCATTTTCCATTGCCACTTTAATTGTCTAAATTTGACTTTGGTGCAGTGACTTGACTCATCATATTGGGTCGGGTGGGTTACTTTTCACTCCCCACAAATACTTATTTTTATTCTATTTAATTGCTTATTTTTTAACTACCAAACTCGTCCCTTTTATATCGGTCATATTTGGGTATGTTTGTTTCGAATATTATTTATGAGTGGTATTAGAAATATGTTTCTTATATTTCCAATATCCAGGAATATTAGTACCGGTAATAAAAAAAATTTCAATCCTCTCTCATGTTTTTTTGTTTAATAGGTATTAAGGTGGGTTCCACAAAAAATCATATAGTCTATCATATTTTATATAACAAATATAATATTTTACCCTTAACATCATTTGTTCTATTTTACTCTTAACCATCTGTACAAGGAAAAAATTTAAAATAATTTTTAAAAAAAAATTAGTAACACTATACGCCTAAATATAATATAAGAAAAAAATTAAAAAAAATGGTAACATCGTACGCTTAAACATAATATAAGAAAGAAATTCAAAAAAATTTTTTTAAAAAAACATTAAAAAAAACTCGCTAACAACGTACTCTTAAATATAATACAAGGAAAAAATTTAAAATAATTTTTTTTTAAAAAAAAATGGTGACACTGTACGCTTAAACATAATATAAGAAAAAAATTCAAAATAATTTTTTTATATGTAAACTCTTAACAAATGAGGGGCATTTGTGTCAATTTACATGTTTGTACTGTTTTTTCATTTAACCCATTAAAATAATCCCACTTGGTAGGTGATTTTCATTAATACCATCTACGAGGCATTATGACTATTATTTATATTAGGTTGGTATTACGATTCAAAAAATAGTACTAATTATAAAATGTTAAACAAACAAGAAATAAGGTAGATCTCATGTACTATTTTTCTAATCCCACCTCCTTATACCACTCTTATCCCCAAAACAAACTAACCCTTAGTAATTAAGCATGTCTTATGTTATACACACCTTTTTAGTATATCATTTAACTTGTACATCATCTACTCAAACCAAAAAAAAATATATTTAATCATAAATTATTCTCGTCTCCATAGTTTCTCACACGGGTGATTAGCTTGTGGCCATCAACAAATTTATATGCTCAACATTTTTCCTTTAATTAATTGCTCTACTCCTTTGCATCATAGAACCTGAACATATTGACACACACACATAAATTTTAGAATAAAAAATTATTAGACTTAATAGAGATGTTAAAACACAACAATAAATATGAAAATTCACACAATCCACGTTAAATCAAACATAAAATTAAAGCGAGAAGTAATATTAACATGTATCTCACTAGAGAAATGTATATTGTAAAAGTGTTTTTGTGTAGATTTGTGTTTAAGAAATGAGTTAATGAAATAAATCTTACAGGTAAGAAAATATAAGGCTGACTTTCTTATTAAAAATGTCTAAAAAATGAGGTAAATTTAGTTATTAATGGGGTTTAATAGCCTAATCATAAGAAATTAAATGAGAGATGGATATTTGTGGGGGGTGAGAATTGTCTCACCCCATCATATATTGTTGTTGAGCCGGTGATTAGAAATTTTTTAGTTTCAATTTCATAACATAACAACATATTTGATAGGACGGATGAAAAAATAAAAAGAAGTTATAAGTGATATATTTTTGATCCTCTAGTAATAGATACATTTCTTCATAGAAGAATTACATTCAGATGAATATTAAATATTTTAAATTTGACAACTAAAATTTATGTTATATTATGACATTTATTGAAATAAAATTAAAATTAGAAGTCTAATTTTTCTTAAAAAATCACAAATAGTATATAATTATATTATTTGATGATACCCAAAATATGCTTACGATTGAGCTCAGGTATTCAGCTCAAACTTTTTCACCTTGGGCACTCAACCCATCCTGGATGACTTGGAAACTTGAGGTCAGACCCTCCATCCTTGCAAATCCACAAGGATAGCACAAAAAGACAATTGGCTTTCACCCAAATCCTAACGGACATATATCTAGGTAAAAAAGTCATAACTGTCTCAACACCTTCCATGACTGTTGTATAAGAGGAGCAACCATTACAAGAAGGAGACAAGAATCACGCTAGAGATCAGGCGACACCCTGACCAACTATAAATAAGAGGCATAACATTCACAAGAAAGATATAAACATCTAACTAATGAAAATACTCTGTGTAATCTTCTTCCATTATCAATAATATCTCCAAGAGTAAGAGACTCTTTTCAGAGTGAATTACCCAAGATTCTGATCTAGTGAATCACTATAAATTCTCTATGTGTAATTACCATTCCCCTTCTATTCAACTCCTAAGAGCCAATGTGCTCCAACCGAGCTATTCAGTGACCCTGTAGGCCCTAGCTACTACTAGTTCTGCTCATTTGTGTAGTATATGCATAATCACTATCTATTGGAATAAAACTAAAAAATCAAACAAGGGGTCAAACTATAATTGACACAATATATTCTAACTTTAATTAGGGTAATGTAGTCGTTTAAATGACAACATTTAATTCCAATAAATAGTATAATTATGTACTAATTATGATTTTTTAAGAAAAAAATTAGGTTTTTATTTTAAAAAATTAAATAATAGAACATGAATTTTGGTTTAAATAATAGAACATGAATTTTGTTTATAAAATTCATGTTCTATTATGAATGACTTAGATCATTTTTTTAATTTTTTAGTTTTATTCCAGTAGATAATATAATTGTATACTAATTATAAATTTTTAAAAAAAAATCGACTTTTTATTTTTTATTTTATTTCAATAAATTATACAATAGAATATGAATTTTCGTTATAAATTTAAAATATTTAATATTCTATTTTTGATTGGAGTATTTTTTATCTAAGTATAACATTTTTAACTTGAGAAATCTAAGTATTATATGTCTACAAAGTTCAGAAGGTCTAAGTTTAATTTACTAACAAATATACTAACAGATATTTAACGACATAGGTCTAAGTGTTATGACGTATAAATCTCAGGGGCTCTGTATGTAATATTTTAAATGTCAAATGGTCAAATTGATAAACTCAAGGAGTTTGACTATAATTCTCCTTTTTCTTTTTTCATTTGTGTGTCGGTGTGTGATAAGAGGGATGAAAAGTAAAAATAATTATAATTGTTTATGTTTGATATGAATGAAAGAGTGGAAAGAGAAAAATGTATAGGTGGGACTATTCCCATATCATAAATTTCAATTCTCATTCCATTTAATTTCTTATTATCAAACTACTAATTTCACTCTTTCTATACCCACCCTTTTAATAACTAAGTCCACCACATGTTACATACACCCTATTAATAGTTAAATTCACTTATTTTATGTACACCTCTTTAATGAAAGAAGTTATTATAAAAAAAAAATAATAAATGAAGATAATTAGTTTAAATACATAAATATATTTACAAAAAAGAAAAAAGAACTAAGCAAAATTGAAACAAGAAAAAAATAACCAAAAACGAAACAAGTTAAAAAAAAAACACAAGCATGCTAAAATAAGAAAAAAAGAAGAAGAAGAAGAAAGAAGCAGAACGAAACAAGAAAAAAAGAAGAGAATGAAACAAGGAAAAAAATAGAAAGAAAGAAACAAATCGAAACAAGAAGGAAAAAAAGAAAAAAAAATCAAGCAAAAATTAAATGAAAAAACAAAACTACAAGACGCAAAACCAAATATGAAAAAAAAAATATGAAAGCACAAACACAAAATTGAACCAAAAAAAACAAACACAAATGCAAAACCTGAATAAAATAAAAAAAAATAAATAATCTAAAAGCATACATATATATACATGCATATAAATTTTAAATAAAAAATTATTAAATTTGAAAGAGTTATTAAAACATATCGAAAATAATGAAAATCCATATAATAAATATGAAATCAAACATAAAATTAAATTGAAAAGTAATACTAACATATATTTCATACGAAAAATCTATATTGAAAAAGTGTTTTTGTGAGTGTATGAGATAAAATAGATAATGAAACCCTAATTATGATAAAATATAAAGTGAATTTCCTTTTTAAAAAGGGGTGTATGTAGTATGAAGTGATCTTAGTTATTAATGGAGTGAGTATAGAAGGGACGGTTTAGTAGTTTGATAATGAGAAATTAAATAAAGTGAGAATGGAGATTTGTAAGGTGAGAATAGTCCCATCCAAAATGTATATGCAAATGTTTTATTATTATATCCACTTCTAAAATTAATTACATAATGTGTAATATATCAATAGGAAATAAGTGTATATTAAGTAGGGATTACATTTTTTTATATGATACGAAAACACCAAATGAAATTAGTGGGTTAAAGTTGAATATTTCTTGAAACGAACTCATAAATGACACGACTCATTAACATAAATAATAAATGTGTTGGGTTAATGTCAGACACCACCAACACGAAATTGACACAATTAACAAGTTTAACTAACGAAAATGCCAAATTTGAGTTTATGGGTTGTGAGGTTTGGGATTTGTTAGAGATTTTTTTTTTTTTTTCAGTAATGCTAGATTGACCAATAAAAAAAATAAATCAAAAGATGGCTTTTAAACATTTGAAATTTAAATTTTATTGTAGTAATGTCATATCATTTTTTTTATCTCATTTTTCTGATTAATGTAGCGTTACTCTTTTCTTTTCTTTTTTTTGTGTCAATCTAGAGCCTCGAGTAACTCAACCTTCCAAAGACCATACAGAAGAATTTTTGCGTCCATCACTTGCTGAGTGAAGGGATTTTAATTATAGTAATGCTAGATTGATCAAATTTTGAGACTAAATTTGGAATCCAAATGACATGACAGTTGATTATTTGAAGTATTTATTGGGGCTCAAATGACATGACACCAATAAAAGAAGCCAAAGTTAACTATCATGTCATTTGGACTCTAAATTTGGTTCTAAAATTTAGTCATTCTAGCATTATTCTTTTAATAATCCCCTGCCTCAGTAGAAGTAACAAAATTAGAATGTTACTATGTGCATAATATTTTCAATAGTAATGGGGAAACTATAATATTTTTAAAATGTTTTAGGGGTCAAAGTGTCATTTGTGTTTGGATTATGGATTCTGGCCCGGTTAAACTTAAACCCGTCGCTCAGGCATTGGAAGTGGCTCACTAACAGCATATTCACCGGGCTCTGCTGGTTCGAGACTCGCAACGACACAGGCGAACTCAGAAAGTTCCAGACTGCGAAGAAGCAATTCTCACTATGGATTTCTCTCTCCTCACCGACACCATGGCGTCCAAATCGTACGAAAAAATCGCTGATATCTGCGACAACCTCATGCTTCAGGTAAATCTGGAAAAAAAATTGAAAACAAATCATATTCTTTTCCCCTTTTCAGTTCCTCCGAGAGTTCCTCAACTTAATACCCTAAATTTATGCATATATATATTGGTATAGGTTGCGGCGCAAGGCATTGCTTTTCAAGAGGAATGGCCGTACGAGATTCATCTCTTAGGTCACATTTACGTCAATGACATGTAAGCCGATTCTCCAATTATGCTGTTTAATTATATATAAGCTGGTTTTGTATATCTGTATTTTTAAGTTTTACCTTTTTTTTCAACTGATTGATTGTCATGTTGCTTTTGAGGGTTTTTGTGTGGTTTAGGGTTCTGACAGTGATGTGATTGTATGTATGCATTGTATTGCAGTAACAGTGCTCGGTTTTTATGGAAATCAATACCTGCTGCGATCAAGGAGAGCAGGCCGGAAGTGGGGGCTGCCTGGAAAATCGGTCAGAGGCTGTGGACGCGGGACTATGAACGTGTGCATGAGGCGATTCGAGAGTTCAATTGGAGTCCTGCGGCCCATGACCTTGTGGTTTCATTCTCAGGCAAGTTTCTACGCCTGCCATGTTCGCAAACATGGATTCATTATATTGGGTAAGAACAAAAAGTAACAAATTTCTATGAGGTGGAACACTAGGGTAATTTGGGACGACACTGTTGATAGATGATGAACTAAGTAGTAAGAGACTATGAGCTGATGGTAAGAGTTGGAAATAAAGGTGTGGAATTCTTCTTGTTGATTGGGAAAGCAATTAGGGGTCTCTCTTTGTAACTCACATTCAGAGGAACTTAAAAGGAAAAGGGATTGTTTTTTCATTAAATATGAAGTTTGGATTCCACATAAAGTCAAGATAACAGTTGAGGACAACACCACAAACAAAAGAGGCAAGTCACATTTTCTGAGGACCATCTTGTGTTCTGTATCAATAGCTTATGAGGGGTTTAAGTGAGAAGAACTCTCAAAACGGGCTTTTACTTTCAATAATTTGTGCCTTGTTTGGTTTTAACCTTGATGAAGGCAGACACAGTAAGTGAGCCCTTTGGGGACAGGATATGCACCCGGTTCGACGAAGTTAATCCTAGATTTGTGTAAGTTCATCTTTCAAAATTTTATGAGTTTCATGTTACTGGGGTGATATAATTCTTAACATAAAAGGTGATAGCACCTTATTGGAAATGGATTTCTCTGCTGCTTATCAACCAAAAAAAAAATCTAAAATAGAGTATGTCATTAACATTGATGGGAGAATAAAAGAAAGTATTGAAAAAGGCTTCCAACTAGAAGGGAAAGAACAAAATAAGATGAAGAGTTCACTCAAAGCATACAATAGGCGAGTATTGGTTGTTGACTAAGTGAATATTCCTCAAGGGAATCCTCTCAAGTTGTTAGTGCTACCTTTAGGAGCATATATTGGTTTTGTTGATGGTTTAAAAGAGGGTTATGGTGTTAAAGGGAATGAAAACCAAGGTGGTTTGAAGAGAAGGACGGAAGAAGGTGAATTGGTCTTCTAGTATAGGGGAATACTGGGAAGGTGTAGGAAATATAATGCTTAAGAATTTTTTTTAATCTCTCTCTTGCTGTTGACTTATTGTTGCCCATTCTAGCAATGCCAGAGATGCCACTGTTTTTTCCTACTTAATGTATCCTTTTTGCAACTTTGAATCATACTTGGAAAACAAAGTTATGCACTGTTTGCATTTGTAAAGCCCCTTTCCAAGCGGGACATTCGGGTTACAAGATGGGTAGCGTTCGCTTTTGCCATGCAAAGGTTGGGAGGTGATCTAAGCTGATGGCAAACATATATGGAACAGAAAAATAATCTGAGTGAGATGATTATAAAAAGGAGGTAGATAGTTTGGGGCATGTGAAAGACGTCCAAGCCTAATGAATGGATGAAGGTGAAGATGAAGTTTAGTTGTTGAAGCATTAATATGTGGCTGCTTGCGCCTGCATGCTGGGGCATGCCATTTTTGCAAACTTATTGCGATTCAACATTTAATTTCAGTTGCCAATCCAACAATAAAATCACATATTTTTTGTCCTTCTTGCTCTGACTTCACTGACATTATTGAGCCAATAACTTATGGCAATGGCGCTTATAGTTCATGTGTTATTTGAATATGCAGCAGCACAAGATCGTGATAGGATCAACATAGTGTTAGAGGTCTTTGTAGGTTAAAACACCCCTTAAAACTCCAGAATTCCAGCTCAAGTTGAAATAGTTATTAGTTCTTTTACCTATCTTTTTAGATTTGTTAATAGATTTATCTTTTTGTACACTGGGGTGATGAGTTCTTACATTACAAGGGTAGGGACAAAGTAATGAATTAGCTTGAAACTTTGAGATGTTGATTTCACAAGATCCAGAAGGTTAAGGAGGCATGAAGTGTACTAGTGTTTATGTAAAGAGGAGTGCTGTTCGTACTATAGCTACAAAGTTGAAATGGAAGACTTAAGGGGCGTGGAGAGGGTAGAAGCCAATTGAATTTATCCCTTTACATTGTCAAGAAATTAAGAAGCGAATAATGAATTCCTTATCATTTTCATGCATGATTTGACCATTAAAAACATATTTTGGTGGGAACCTTGTGAATAGTTTAACTGTTGTTTTTTCAGTGTAGACCTTAACTTTTATAGCTTGCTCTTGTGTCCCCAACCTGAAAAAACAATCCCATAAATTTAGGGAAAGGGATGAATTTGAATATCTTTCTACAAAGAGATAAATAGGTAGTTCAAGTTTTATATACAAAGAAAGGGGTACACAACCAGATTGAGTTTTACATCCTGCTTGCCTCAGAGAGAGTTGAAGTCTTTGGGACATGGATGCAAGACACTAACAAGAGAGCTGAAAGTTTTCAAGCCCTTTGGGACATGCGTGGATGTCTACTGGGACCATGACATGGATATCTTTCAAGGATCCTTTGTTGTCCTTTTTTTCTTTTATTGGCTTCCCTCTGAAGATGAAGGGGAGCAGGGGAGGGACCAGATGATTGGCACTTCTATTTCCCCCTAACCTTCAATGTGGGAAGCTTATGTAAAAAATATTGAAAGATCATGTCATTGTAATTTGCGCCACATGATAGAAAGTATCAGCATTTGTCAATAGGGTCCCTGCTACACAATATGCAATATGATTGTGTATCGGCTGATAGCTAATGAGGATGAAAATATAGGATCTATGAGAATCGAATTAAAAGAACAATACAAGATTTTTAAAATGAGTGCAATCGGAACCTGTAAGGAAAATGTTTCACTGTGTATTAGGTCACTGAATGAGTGCTGCCCTTGTTCATTACTGCTCTGCAAAGTATGGGGGTATGAGCGATGTGATTTTTGGAATCACAGGGAGTGCTGTTGGATGACTACATGAACAAGATAGTTGTTGCCACCCATGAAACTTCGTGGGATTTTGGAGTGTTCAGTCAAGCACATGCTTGGATGCTAGTGTAAAGTCCTCTTTCTTGAAAAAAATGCTAATGTTTTTGTAGATATATGTCTGCATGTGGTTTAAAAGATTCATTGTGAACCCATTTCTGAGAGGTTTGATTTTGTGTTGCGATCTGTGCGCTGCATGAAGATTAAGATCTCTTTCTCTCTCTCACTCATAATTTGGTTGGTTACATGTTGTGAGGGTAGTGTATGGGTGTAGTGCATTGTTGGTGGTGGATGCTTGTGCGCGGTGAGTGTGCAGTGGTAGTGGTGGTGGTGGTGGTGGTGATGTGTCCGTGTGTGGTGGTGGTAGTGGCGGTTGTCTTGTGTCGTGGTATGTTGTGCCGAAGAACGTGTTCCAGGCGCAGCCAAAAATAAGGAAGGTTATGTTGGTATCTTGAAAAGAATTTTACATTACATCAACCCTTTACGTAATGGTCAATCATGACAAGAGTATTACCCGAATCTGCCATATAAAGTAGAATGTGTTGCATCACCATTTCAGATAAATGTAAGGCATGTCCCTCAAGCTATGACTATGACAATATATAGTGTGTGCCTATGGCCATAAACTTTTTGCAATTCAGAGTAGAGGGCTCATAAGTTAGGGGTTTTGTCTGTTGAGTTTTGGTTTGTTTCAGCTGAAATGCTAATCATCACTTTTCTATTGAGTATTTTGCAGAACTTTACACCAAAAGGACGTTTGACCTACTGCTGTCTGCATATTCGACAATAAGCATTCAAGATGCAGCTCGTTTCCTGGGGATGTGTGAGGATGATGCAACAAACTGTAAGCTTCTACTTTTTGTTACTGAATGTCTGGTGTCAAATCATATTACTATGCTAGTTTATCTTGATTATAAACAAAGGGGCGTAGATTTGAATACATTTATAATGTGGTGTTGATGGATCATAGCTGCTCAGATGAGGAGCACATGTACTTTTCAATTATAAACAGTTAATGGCTCAATATTCTTCAGCCTAGATAGCTGGGCTGGTAGAGGGAGTTCTTCAAGCATTGTGGCAGTTTGCGGGATCACTTATATGAGCTAATGCTAATTTATGGGTCACTGAAAGTTATATGGCTGGGACTGTATAATGTATGGAACATGAAAGGGTTGTTATTTGAGAATTGGGTGTAGATGCTTGTTTGCCAGGTATTTAGAGGAGATGCTACTTTGTGGGGGTAAATTGAGGTTTTCTCCAGTTTTCCTGTTATTTGTGAGGCATTGTAAATGGTCTTTAAAAGGAAACGTTTTTTTTTTTATCAGAATTTAAAAGGAAATGTTCATGTAACAATTTTGTGTCCATGGAACCTTTCTTGGATGGCTTCTTATTGTCAGGCTGCTTTGATTATTTGCTCCCGAACTGTTTGCTAATCGCCACCTGTCTACAGAGTCACGAGGTCTAGGCACCGTAAAAAAGAATGTAGTTGCTTATTGTAAAAGGAAATTTATCGTATCCAGTGTGAAAAAGATTAGCGTTCTGTTACTGATGTCATTGGCCTTTTATCATATGCAGATGTGCTGCAACAGGGTTGGAGTGCTGACCCCAATTCTCGGATGCTAACCGTGAAGAAGCAGGCTATTACAACGGAACAGAAATTAGATTCCAGCAAATTGCAGCGCCTGACAGAATATGTTTTCCACCTTGAGCATTAATCAAACTGTTAGTGAATCCCAGTATTTATGCCTTGTTTGATTAGCTTATACACTTACTTTTGATGATTTGGCAAACTGCATAAATGCATTGAAGATGTCTGAATTTTATTTTTAGTCCGTGTACAGCCAGAGCTAAACGTTATCGATTGTTTTCTCTTTGCTGTTTCTAAAATTTATCTGAGGATAATGAAGAAGAAATTTTTTGTTGAATCTAACTTGCCCATTTTTTTTTTTGGTTGAATCTAGTTGGTTGCTAAAATGATTATGAGAAATAATTTAATTATTTTATTTTGTTTCTGAGGGATTGTTGTAAAAATGATTGTGATAGGTATTTGCCTGCAATTGATGAATCAATATAATCTTTACATAATGAATGCGAGTGTGTTTGGTGGACCTTTTTGATTTGGATTTAATTTAATGACTTAATCATTTATAATCTTTGGATAGATAATGGGTTATAGTATTTGTTGGATTTCACAATTAATTCAATGGCTATGATGAATTAGGTCAGTAAATTATGTCAACAAATTAGATCTAAACGAATGGGGAGGATACCCTAAAATAGTCACTTTAGTTTTGGCCATCTTGGGAAGCCATGCGGGTAGTAGTCCTAAACTCTTGATAACAGTGACATTAAATTATCATTGACATGTCACCAACCTATAAATGGGTAAAGTGAAATCTATTTTTGTGGTTATTAAATGACATGGTAGAGTTGTTACATCACAATGTCATGGTTAATGAATTAAATTTTTATTGTTCAGGACGTTATGATCTAGTAAAGTCACCAAGTTATTAATATCACGTGGTATTATTATCCAATAAAATGAATACTGTCCATTTCCATATACTCAATATGAACTACATATTCCAACACAAACAAACTTAAAATTGGTCTTTTACGAATAAATTGGTGATGTTTGGCATTGTATCCTAAGTCCCATTTGTTATGTTGGATAATGTCCCATTTTTTAGTGGGATATGAGTAAATATTTAGTGTAATAGTTATACCACGTCAACATTGTTACGTGGTGTAATCGTCTAATAAAAAATAAACAAATAAATAAAATATATCACATTACATTATCCTACATTGAGGTGGTTACATATTATATTGTTGAGTGGTTACTTAATTTTGTGGACTCAATTGTTTATTTGTTCACTTATTAGTAGATAATTACACTACATAATATTGTTGGCATGATGTAACCGTTACGATCTAAAATTTTCTCTTTCTTTGTCTATTGAATGTTGAACCATAATAACTTCCATAAGCCGAATTAGACTTATGAAATTTAAAAAATATTTTTTTAATAAATGTTTACCGAAAGTGTTTATAAGAAAAATACTTTTATTAAATAAGTATTGTTTGAATATTCAAGTACTTAAATTAAATAAGTATTGACCGGACTTGTGACGGAGGAGGGATTGAATAATTGTTCTGGGCTGAAGTATTTGGATCTTGGCAATAATTTCTTTTCTGGGTCAATCCCAGCATTGTCTTCAATGAATGGATTGATGTATCTTCACATGAATAACAGTGAATTTTCTGAGATTTTTCCATGGGATTCACTGAACAACATGACAGGTCTCGCTGTGTTGAGCCTAGGAGGAGACAACCCGTTTGATCGAACTCCATTTCCGAAGGAAGTGCTCAAGCTTACCCAGTTGAATTGGTTGTATCTTTCAAATTGCAGTATCGAAGGGCAAATTCCAAAGGAAATTGGGAATTTAAGCGAGTTTATCAATTTGGAGCTGTCGCTGAACTCTATCTACGGCGAAATTCCGGTAGAGATTACAAAGCTTTCTAATCTATGGCAGCTTGAGCTCTTTCAAAACGGATTGAACGGAACACTTCCGGTTGGGTTTGGGAATCTTACTAGCCTCAAAATGTTTGATGCTTCGAATAATTATCTTACCGGCGACCTTTCGGAGGTGAGGTTGTTGAATCAATTGGTGAGTTTACAACTTTTCGAGAATCAAATCTTCACATGAAGGGAGTCGTCGAGATATCGCCGGTGATTGCCTACCTCTCCGGCATCATCCTTGTAGTCGGTCACCAAAATGGAAGAAGGGCTGTTGACAGACCCATGGGAGGAGATGAGTTATTGGGAGAGAGAGTCGACGGGTTGAGAGAAAAAAAAATGAAATAGAAGTGGTTAAGCCGAAGCGATTTTGAATAAGTAGAAGTTATATTTTTTAATTTTTATTTTTAGACTTATTTAAGTGGTAAAATAGTTTTTACTTTTTTAAAAAATATTTTTAATAAGTTAATCCAAATATATTATTTTTTTTTTATGAAAACACTTATGATAAGTCAAAAGTCTAAAAAACACCATTTTTTTTTTTTAAACACACTCTGAGTATTTGGGATAGAAGTTGTAACTTGTGATTAGAACAGTTAATGGAGAGATTGAAAGGTGACCATATCATATGGATTGAAACCTTAGCAACGTTCGTTTGGTTTTGTGAACATTGAAGCGTGAGACGAAGATTTGCAAAAATAGACATACTTCATCCTCATGTCCGAAACATTTATACCTTATGTGTTTTAATTTATGATAAAAAATAAAATGGCAGTCTTAGTCAAGTCTACATTATCAATTTAGTATAACATTGATGGTACAAATTAAAATTTTTAATATTGAAAGGTATAAATTAAAATTTATTTATCTTTTAAGGTATAAAGTGAAAATAACCCCACATTTATTCGGGTCTGAAAAATACGATGCCGCTTTTTCCCATATGAATCAAAAGACCCAATACTATAGGGCAGCTAGCTGCTATACCATGCCTTGGTTTTTGGCAGATAATCTTAATTGGTGTTTTTTGCCCTTTAAGAAAAGGTGCGGTAAAGGAACGTCTAAACCCCACTCTAACTCTAATGGGGGCTTTATTGATGAGATTATAAGACTATTAACTAAGCTCATTAACTTTAATTTTTAAAAAGTATTATAATTTAATAAACAAATTTAAAAATATAATAAATTAATAAATATATTTGCAAAATATTGCGCTCTGATAATTGGTTTGGTGTTTGTTGATAAGGAAAATCTATGATACCGAAAAAATAAATGAGTATTGTACTGAAAGTTTTAATTTTTTAAGATAGATTTATAATTTTAAAATGAAAAATTATTATAATGTTTAAGGGAATGTTATGATCGATCACAAATACTTATGATCGATAATGCACTTTTCCCTTAAACAATTATAACTTCGAGTTATAATTTCATATTTAAAGTTGTAATTTAACTTTGAAAGTTATTCCTTTTAGGAAAAACTTCAGTCACGTTTCTTTTAGTTTATCATACTTTTAAAGACACATTTTTTATTATTTAAAACATCACTAACACCTTTTTTTGTTTATATTTAAACAATACTGACACTACCTGCCGTTAAAGCACTATATATATATATATATATATCCAAAATACTAAAATTACCCCTATATAAACCTTAAACAATCTTACATAAAATTTGAGTTGATTAAAATTTTTTTTCACATATTAAAATTTGATCTTATTAAAATTTCTTTTTTACGTATTAAAATTCAATCTAATTTGAGCTATACATGAGTTGTTAGCACTGATTAAAATTTATTTCGAGTGGATAAAAATTTATATTTTTTTATTAAAATTCGTGTCAAATAAAATTCAATTAAAGTTGATTAAAATTTATTTTTTATGTATTAAAATTTATTACTTTTTATGTATCAAAATTCATACTGATTAAAATTTAATCCATTAAAATTTGATTCGAGCCAATTAAAAATGAATTTTAACCACTAAAATTTTAATATGTAAAAAATATAATTTTTAATCAACTAGAATTTTAATGCATAAAAATAAATTTTAATTAACTCTAATTTAGTGTTAATCAGCCAAATTTTAATACGTAAAAAAATTTTAAAAATAGAGGGAGTCTTGTCGAAGATATGTTTAATTAAAGAGAGTGTGGATGAAATTTTTTTTATTTTTAGTAGCAATTGCAACCTTCTATAATTGATTATATTATTTATAATTATAATTTATATATAAAATAATTATAATTTAATTTTAAATAATTATATTAATATATACGGCGGCGGATAAGCATGCCAACGTCGGCACGAGAAAGTTTATTAGTTGCACAGAGGAGGAGACAAGGAATCTTTTTGAAAAAGTCTTGGTTTGGGGATTTGCAATTTCCCGTTGATTGTATTATATTTGTCGTTTGTGAACAAAACGGCCTTTCTCGGGCCTGGGCCCGGGCCGGCATTGAGGTTATCGAGTCACCCCACCCCGAAAACGGCAAGCATCTTTTAGCTATTTTTGTCAAGGTGAACTGTTATTGTGACTCGCATTTGTGGCGCGTGCACTAACTCGTGAGCGTTCTTTCACCCTGTTGCCCTTGATTTTTTTGACTTTTAATTGTTCTAAATTAGCATTTAGACAAATATGAAGTACAAAAGCATTTTCTTAATCTTCACAATAGAACATGTAATAAGACTGTTTTTTTATTCTTTGCTCAAATTAATGTGATAGGATTCAAAGCCGATGGGCCCTATTTGGTCGTGGGCCTAATCTATAAGTATAGGCAAGTTCATAGGTCGAATTCAGAAATATAGACCATGTTCAAAATTGTAGATTATACCTACTTCAAATATATTAGTCAAGTTGTACAATTTTAAGAGACACATTCCATAACTGACATGCTAGGAGATCTCCGTGGGACACACATGTCGTCGTTTTCATGAAATTGTCTCGCTTGTGATAAGAATGACATCACCTCCATTAAATTACTTTACCTGTTATAAAAATGACGTCTTAATCTATTAGTAGACGCTTTAATTTGTTAGGAAACACCTGTAAATTATAAGTCCCACTTACACAAAGGAGACATCTCTCATAGCTTACTCACATTTGAGTACTCTACACTCTTTGAGCAACGAAACACTCATGTCACCATAACCTTTCATGATAGGGTAGATCACTTTGACCAAACTATTTAAATTGTGTTGATTCTATTTTTTAATTGCTTCATTTAATATTTTATTGGTGGTATACAAACACATTTTATGCACCATCATAAGCTAAATAAAAAGGTATTTCTTAATTTTTAACAATAAAAATGACGAGGAAGTAAATTTTAAAGCAGTGCGACCGAATTCTAATTCATACTTAACTCTTAATGTTTCTTGGCAATAGTTATGTTTCGATTATTATGATGGCACATATAAAAAATGTTTGAATTTCATTGTTCAACTTATATATTTTTTAATGCAATTATAATTGGTAAACTTGTTTATGGCGAATTTCGTTTACCCTTATCATTTTTGAATATTAATTATCACTCGATCAAATTTGTAACACAAATTATTTTTGATACCATTATCTAATTAAAAAGATAACTATACAAATGAAAAGTTACGAGAAAATCAGAATATAAAAGATTTTACTTATGCGGTATTTGAAAATTGTATGAACAACCTTTATAGTTTGATATTTTTATTCATTCTCATAGAGTGTAACGCTGCAGCTTTTTTGGTGCGCTAATTGATAAAATTTCACAAAAATATTCCAAATACACGGGTCTTTTGTAACACACACATGCATGATTTGTTCATTTCTCAACAAATATTTGACACTTATCACTTCTATATGATAGATGCTTATGAATTACTTATCATAGATACGTGTCATACGTTATTACTAGATTACTGTCAACTCATCTTTCTTTTATTTTAATTTTGTAATTTTAATTATTATTTAACCCATATATTACATTTTTAATGCAACTCAAAAATATATTACGTCAAATTAAAAATACACCAAATTATAATTTTAGTCCAAATCAAAATTCTTAATCGATTCATCACAAGAAATTGTGTTATATGCATTAATTTTAATTCAAATACTACTCGATCCTAATGTTTTTAATTAATCATATTAAATAATTTAATGCTAATTTAAAATATTTCTACATTATGTACTATCTAAGTCGACACATACATGGCCTATATTGTTTGTAAATGAAGGTTTAACCAAAATAGTTTAATAGACCAGTCATACACATGTTTGTTTATGTATTCAAGAATCCCAGACCCGTGATGATTTGTGCCAACCAGACTCATATCCATTGGTTTCACCAAACTCATAGGGTTCATATTTATCAGTAGGATGATAGATAAATTGACCATTGTATCCCTAAGAGCAACTCCAACAGGACGGTATATGGGGTTGGACAATAGCATTAAAGTTAATGGGGTGACATTTTTGACAATTCTGGAAAGGGAAAGTGAGATGTTGTAAATGAGTTGATATGATAACGATTTATATAAATTGATGAATGAAAATATGAAAATAACACCCTATTTTGATACCTGCTATTGGAGCAGATTAATAATTTAAGGAATGCCAAATATTATTCAAGATTATAAATGAGTGATTTGACACTAAAAAATGACAACTCCCTTTGAAGTTGTTTTAATAAATTATCCTCTCTATCCAATTCACATCCCACCCACCAACAACTCCCCACTTTGGAGTTAAACAACACATGTATATCGATTGGATTGATTTATGGACAATTTAGTCTATTATATAATAATTTTTTGTTATAATTGTTATTAATTTGTGGGCCTAACATATGTTTATCCCATTTACAAAAAGAAGGGTTGAGTTTGAATCTCTCATTGAAAAATCATCTAACAAATACCCATAAAGGTTACTGATCGGTCTCATAGTCACCACCTATATTATTGAACTTTAAAATCGTGTCAGTTCAAATCTTATCGTTCCCTTATCTTGTAATAGTACTTGACAAAAAAAAAATGGACAAAGACACAACTTATTAGATAGAAAATAAAAATGCTAAAACATTGAAAAAATCATGAGATTTTACAAGACTCCATATGAAAGGTTAAAACATTGAAAAAATACAAAAAAAAAAAAAAATAGTTAATTGAATCTACCATTATTGAGTTATTTCGATTTGACATTAATGAAAATTTATTTATTATTCGGTATGACCATTCTTACAAATAATTAATTAATTAATTTTGTCTATTCCATGCAGCGCGTTTCGTTTCTCTGATATACCCTGCAACTCAGCTTCAACCACACTCTCTCTCCACATTTCTTCCTCTGTCATCTCTCTCTCTCTTTCTCTCGCTCTCTGCGCGAGAGTCACGATTTGACAGTTGGAGAGCCTAAAGATTTCAGACGCAGTTCGTTCCGATCCGCAACTGAATTAGCCCTAAAATTCAGAGAGAAAAATCTGAAGAAACGAACTCTAGAAGCTCCGTAAATGGCGTCGTCGAAGGTGATGGCGTCTATGTCACCGCCGAATCCGGATCGGCCACGCCTTCAGACTTCTATACATTCACTCACAATCTCTGAACAGAGTAAGAACTACGGCTCCATGAACATGGACGAACTCCTCAAGAACATCTACGCCGATGCCGAATCGTTTCCAACTGTAGGTGATAATGGGGGTGGCTCCGCCGTAGACGGTGGTGGAGGTGTGAAGAATGAGGAGAATAAGACGGTGGAGGAGGTGTGGAACGAGATAGTGAATGGAGTAGGTGATATTCGAGAGCCGGGGATGACTTTGGAGGATTTTCTGACTAAAGCCGGGGCTGTGAGGGAAGAGGACGTTATGGTTCCGCCGGAGGCGGCTCCGTCGGAGTTTGGAGCGGAATCGATGATGAATGCAGCTGAGTTTTCCGACATGCAATTGGGGGAGACTGGGATAGGAGGGTTTGGAGTTGAGGCGGTGGGGTTTGGGAATGGAATTGATGGAAGAATGGTGGCTGTGGGGACCAGTGGAGGTGGACGTAGTGGTGGGAGAGGGAAGAGGAGATTGGTGGAGGAGGCGCCGGTGGACAAGGCGACGCAGCAGAAGCAGAGGAGGATGATCAAGAACAGAGAGTCTGCGGCGAGGTCGAGGGAGCGAAAGCAGGTTGATTGTTTTTCTCAAATTTTGTTCAATTAGGAAGGTTGCAATGAGTTTTCGTTTTCTGGGTTACTTACTTACTGAATGCATGTTGAGTTTTGTCGAAATTTTAGGCCTATACTGTTGAGTTGGAATCGTTGGTCACGCAATTGGAGGAGGAGAATGCTATGCTTTTGAGAGAAGAGGTATCTTTTTTTTTTTGGTGAATTTGTGCGTGGTTATTTTATCAGCATGGGAATTTATTGAGTAAGTTAGAGAAATATGGATACTTGGTGGTCGTTTTGCATGGAATAGGACTTAGATTTTTTAGCAATGTAATGACCTTGGGTTTTTTTTTTTGTTTTTTGTTTTGGGGGGTGGGGGGGGGGGGGTTGTTTTCTAAATGTGATTGTAAGATGGAGATGTCTAATTGATTAATGAGAATTGGCTCCGGAAGGGCAGGCTCTTATGAATAAACCAAATTATTCAAGGGATTTTTTTATTTTTTTGCTCTTTTGGTTGGCGTTGGATTTTGTAGCTTGAATCACACTGGAATCTCTGGTTATCTATCATGCTATTTACACCAAATTATACCAAATCTGAAAGAAGACACATGACATGATCCAACGTCTAGGCTTGAGTCTGAAAAGGTCTTAGGCAATTTGACCGTTATTAAAAAGATCTCCAAGGATTTTGGGAGAGTGAAGAGCCATGTCAGAACATGGAGGCATAGAAATGTCAGCTGCAGACATAGGGCCATGTAGTAGCCGTTACAGAAAGAGACCCAAGATAGAGGCTAAGTGGCCGGAAGAGATGGCTACAAAGAAAGTACCGCCCATAAAATTATAAATACAGAGAGAACTAGAGGGAGGACGATCAACAATCCGAAAACAAGAGACAAGACTTGCTTATGCATTATTCAGTATTTGTAATTCCATCACTATTCCGGTGATTATGTTTAGTTTATTTTAAGCACAATAGTCAATTAGGCCGTTCTGTTTGGCCACGCTCATTATAGTTTTACTAGTTCCATTTCGTTCTTCCCTTACGATTATTTGTTTGTCCAGACAAGTAGTTTAAGTTCTAAATCCCAACGGCGTAGAAAAGAATCCAGAGGTAGTTTTACGTCTCGTTAGAGTACCCTAAACAACTACGATTTAGAACCTCACGCCAGTTTGAGTAGGTAAGGTCGTTTTATTTGGAATTGTTAAGTCCATTCGTTAAGTCCTGCAATTAGAAAATACGCCAAACACATGCTAACATTCTTAAATTACCAACTAAATGTTCTGGTCATGGTTTTTAACTAAAACCAGTACGCATATGTGAGTCTAATTTGCTAACTGTGCATACTATTTTGATATGTATAGACATGTTTGTACTTTCATTTGCTATTTGGGAATTTGCCATAGAAAAACTATCATCAAATTATCCAGGTGAATTGGTTGGTTATGTATTTGGTCTTTGGCTCCATATGAAATTTGTAGTTGTACTTGTATTCAGAAGAGGAATATATATGAGTCAAAGGGATACAAACTAAGAGTAGAGCCCTCGTATACATAGTCAACAATAAAGATACAATAAGGATAAAAAGGTAAAAAAGGAAAACCCTAATAACTTATGCTATAACACTCTCCCTCAAGGTAGGTGCAAAAATATCAACTAAGCCAAGCTTGACAACAGAGTCCTAAAGAATAGATAGAGTGACAGGTTTGGTGAAAATATCCGTAATCTGATCACTAGTCCCCACAAACAATGGAGTGATAATACCACAGCTAACCTTCTCCCGAAGAAAGTGAACATCGATCTCTATATGCTTCGTCCTCTCGTGTAGTATAGAGTTAGAAGCAAGCTGAATAGCAGACCGATTATCACAATATAATGTGGATGGAGAAGTCACTGAAAATCTTAACTCGTCAAGAATCGATCGTAGCTAGATAATCTCGCATTTGCCAAGTGCCAGTGTCCGATACTTTGTCTCTGTTGACGAGCGGGAGACAATTGACTGCTTTTTGCTCTTCCAAGAGATAAGATGAGCCCCTCGAAAAGCACAGAAGCCCGTAGTAGATTAACCATCACATGCTCCCCTATAATCTGAATCTGAATAACAAGCTAGAGAACCAGTCTGAGATCCTGATGCATAGAACAACCCAAGTCCAGGACAAGACTTGAGGTACCGAAGAATATGATAAACTGCATCAAGATGAGGCTGACACGGCTTGTGCATAAACTGACTAACTCGGCTGACTGCAAATGAAATGTCTGGCCTTGTGTTGGCTAGATAGATAAGTCTACCTACCAACCTCTGATAGACAGCCGGATCTCTTAACTCCTCACCTTCAACAGTAAGCTTCAGGTTTGGAATCATGGGTGATGATGCCGGTTTGCACCCCAACATCCCAGTATCTGAAAGAAGATCTAAAACATACTTTCTCTGAGAAAGAACAACACCCGTGCTGCTACGGACAACCTCAATCCCAAGAAAGTATCGCAGAAATCCAAGGTCCTTCACATCAAAGGCCTTCCCAAGGTCTTACCTCGACCTGCGCAGTCCCAAAAATATCATCCCGGTAATAATAATATCATCAACATATACCAAAAGAATAACACATTGTTCAGAAGTATTCCGCCGAATAAAGCAGGTATGATTAGAATGACATCTGGTGAACCCCAAACGTACGACTACATCACTAAAGCGAGAGAACCATGCTCGTAGTGACTATTTCAGTCCATAAAGAGACTTACACAGTCGATATACCTTTCCAGCATACTCCTCCTCACCATGAATGTCCGATGGTGCATCCATATAAATAATCTCCTCTAGATCAACGTGAAGAAACACATTCTTCACATCTAACTGATGAATAGGCTAAGAGTACTCTGTAGCTAGAGAAATAATCAACGGAACAGTAGTCAATTTTGCCACAGGGGCAAATGTAGCACCAAAATCACGACCTGGTACCTGAGTAAAGCCCTTTGCCACAAGCCTAACCTTGTGACGATCAATAGTACCATCCGCAAGAAACTTCAGGGTGTAAACCCAGCGACAGCCAACAGGTTTCACCCCTGAAGGTAAAGAGACAAGATCCCATATATGATTACGCTGAAGAGCGTCCATCTCCGTTTGCATGGCAAGAACCCACTAGGGCTCTCGTATAGCCTCTGAAATAGAGCGAGGAACCGGCGCATCTGATAAGACCATACTATAAGCTCGAAATGTAGGAGACAAATCACCATAAGAAATATAAGCAGATATCGGATATAAAATCTTGGCGGTCCAACCATAACGATCAATTGGACGATGATCACGCCGCGGATAACGACGCCCTAAATCATAATCCTCTACTAATAATGTCTCATTAGGTAATATAACTGACTCAGTACCTGCAATCTCATTAGTACTAATAACAGGGACATCAATATGCTTAACGAACTCAAAAGTATTACCTGCATCGCCTGAGATAGAGGGGACATCAGCAGGGGGATGAGAGCGAGGGCGACAAACATAAACCTGTAAAAGAAGAGAGACTGGTGACTCTGGCTTTGGAGGAGAAGAGACTGATGACCCTGTAGTGATAGGGATCAATGGCTCTGTCTCCTGTGGTAATGGAAAATCAAAGGGAATATCATCAACTGGAGGGGAAGACACAGGATTGGAAGAAAAATAGGGAATATGCTCAAGAAAGGTAACATCTATGACGCCTAATAGGATCATAACACCGATACCCTTAGACTGATGACAATAGCCCACAAAGATAAAACGAATCGTTGTATCATCAAGCTTATGGCGAGTAGAAGACCGATCTTGAACAAAATATGTGCAGCCAAAAACACGAAGGAGGACAGGAAAAAGTGTCCGCTCAGGGAATAAAACCTATAAGGGAGCCTTATGCTGAAGAACATGACTCGGTATACAATTGCATAGAAAGGTAGAAGTCAAAACAGCAAAATGCCAGTAAGATTTTGGTACCCCCATACCTCGAAGCATACAACGTACAATTCCTATCTGACTCTTATTTTTTCTTTCAGCAACTCCATTTTACTCAAGAGTATATAGACAAATGAGCTGCTGAAGGATACCCTGGGAAGATAGGTGAGACACTAAGGCATCAAACACATATTTTTTGGCATTATCTGAACGAAGAGCACGAACCATGACATCGAATTGTGTCTTAATCATCTGGAGAAACTGAGTGATGACAGGGAGTACATCAGACTTTCTATGTAAAAGGTAGACTCAAGTACAACGGGTATGGCTGACTTGGGGTGTTTGGACAGTCGATGTGCTTGGTTGGGTATGAGTATATGTTGCAGTCGGTGATGGCTTTGGTATATGCAGTCGGTGATGGCTGTGGTATGATTGTTGGTGCTGGGGTTTGATTTTGTGGGGTTTTGGCAGTAGGCTAAAGGCTGTCACTGGTATTGTCGGTATTGGCTTTGGGAGAAGGTTATTGGGTAGTGGGCTGTTGGGTTGGCCGGTGGTTATGGAGAAGGTTGTTGGGCAGTGAGACAGCAAATGGTATTGTCGGTATTGGCTTTGGGAGAAGGTTATTGGGCAGTGGGCTGTTGGGTCTTGGCTGGTAGTGGCCGGTGGTTATGGAGAAGGTTGCTGGGCAGTGAGGCAGCAAGATGACTGGCCTGTGGCAGTGGCTGGGTTGCTGTCGGTTAGCTGTGGCTTGATTATGATGGAGGTTAGGGTTAGGGTTAGAGTTAGAGGTAGGGTTTGCTTTGATACCAAGAAGAGGAATATATATGAGTCAAAAGGATACAAACTAAGTGTAGAGCCCCCGTATATATAGTCAACAATAAAGATACAATAAGGATAAAAAAGTAAAACAAAGGTAAAAAAGGAAAACCCTAATAACTTATGCTATAACTCCAACATATTCTAGATTGCTGAGCAATTTTAGACTTTTGGAATGGCTGAAATATAGGCACCACTTATTTCCTTCTATTTCATACTCTTTTGCTTATGCTCTTCGACTCTTTGATTATGTCACGTCTTTATGTTTTCAAGTAGACTCCATTCTTAGTATGACGATGGTCATTACTAAATATCAAAGAGAACAATTTCTGAACAGCAGTTTTATATTTATTCCATGCATCAAGAATCATTTTTTAGAATCAATTGTCATTTTCACTAGTTTTTAAGATCTAAATTATAAATGCAGGTTGAGCAGACAAGAGAGAGGTTCAAACAGGTATGTTTTGGCGGTCTTTGATCAACTATTCTATACCATTCTTCATGCATGAAATTGTAAGAAATGTATGCAGCTGACAAGATTAGATGCTTCAGCCAATCATTTGTGTGCATCATGCCAGTGTCAATGTGAACAGTTTTT